TTGTAAAGAGATGCCCTACTTGCTCTTTATATAACCAAACACCACTACCTGCAGGGACTAACCCGAAGGGTACTCAAAGGAATGAAATCTGGCAGATGGATGTCTTCCACTTTGCAGAATTTGGAAAATTAAAATATGTACATCACATAATTGACACTTATTCAGGCTTTCAGTGGGCAACTGCTTTAAGCTCAGAAAAAGCTGACTCAGTAATCACACATTTATTAGAAGTTATGGCCATTATGGGAATACCTGCACAAATAAAAACAGATAATGGTCCAGCTTATGTCTCTAGGAAAATGAAACGGTTTTTTGCTTATTATAATATTAAGCATGTTACAGGTATACCATACAATCCTACAGGTCAAGCAATCATAGAAAGATCAAATCGAACTACAAAGGATATGGTAAATAAACAGAAAGGGGTGGAAAATGCCCCCAGAAATAGATCACATAATGCCTAATTAACCTTGAATTTTCTTAACGCTAATGAGAAGGGGACAACAGCGGCAGAAAGACACTGGATAATGGAAAAGTCTGCTGAACTAAATCAACCGGTTTATATCAAGGATGTGCTGACCTCTCAATGGAAGCCAGGAGATGTGCTACGTTGGGGAAGGGGTTTTGCTCTTGTTTCCACAGGAGAAGAAAAATTGTGGATACCATCAAAATTAATAAAGGTTAGATTTGAAGAGAAGAAACCTCTTGGAAAGGAGAAATGACAGCATCTACGATGATGATGACCATACAGGTGGTAAGAAAAACATAGAATGGGGGCAGGGTTCTGTTCTTATCTCCACAGGAAAACACTCGTCTTTGAAAAATTCAAAGGACCCTGGATGTTTGAATACTGACAGATGGAAAAATAACTACCCAATATGGATTATCAAGAAAACTGAATATGTCCTGTGAGTATGAAGCTCTGGAATATACTAAATCATATTTCTGAATTTATAGAGCTGGTTTTGGAGTTGGACTCTTGGCTCGGTCCCTCTCTAATTCCAAGCCTGTTGTTAGGAGAAAAACCCAGAGTTTCTGGAGTTTCTGTCTTATGTCAAGAGCCATGATATGAGACAGAAAGAAATATGAGTTTAGAAAACATCTTTGCTTTTCTTCATATCTATCATACTTTTCATTGAATATGTCTATCATACCTTTCATTGAATATATGTTTGTATATGTCTATATAATTAATGTTTAAGTTTTCTACAATGAACAATGAGTTCTTTCTGCACTGACATTTGAAGTTTTCAGGAAGAAGATGGGACCCCCATAACAACAACTCCACTTGGTTGATATGACGTCATGATACTGATAGTGCTACTACAAGTCCTGTTTCGGGTATCAGCTGCACAGATGATTCCAACTTGGTTAGCTGAAATGGTGCGCATCTTGTACAACATTCTGGCCAGACCTCCACAAAATACTCAGAGACTGTTTGCAATTTTAAAAGACATTGATCTTGAAATTTAACCATCATTTTACTTTCACAGGATCCTCCAGAAAGAACCTCACCCCCATGACAGCTGGAAGTAATTCTAGAGGACGATGTCCCCTCTGTCAGCAAAGTTTATCCTCAGGTTTATGAACAATATTTAGGGATTGATTATAATTAGTATACAGTTGAAAGTTGGGAAAGGAATTTTATAAGCTCAGGGATCTTTTTGAAAAAAAAATAAGAGGGAAAATTGGATAGATAATAATGGTATTTGTGAGTTATTGTTTATAGATAATTACATCGTTATAGATTTTTGTATATGGATACAAAGTTAAATTATATTGAATATTGTATGTATGCATGCTTCTACCTATTTAAAACATTTTTATGTATTGATATATATTGTATACCATATTGCAGTGTACATTTCTACCTCTGATTAAGATACTCATATATTGTTTATGTATTGATATTTATTGTTTACATTTGGAGGTCATTGTCCTCATTTATTGCACAATTGTTTATTCTCTTAGTCTTTAAGTTAGATACATGTTAAGAATTGTAGATCAATAGTCATCTATGTCTGTCATATTTATGGTTAGACTAATCAGGTTCTTTAGATACATAGAGGTTATATATAAATAGTCTTCAACCTCTTCGAAGAGCTGTAGAAAATGG